TTACTTTAGTACTCTAAGTTACCCTAACTACGAATTTTAATACACGGTTATTCAGTGTTTAGGTAAAGTTTTATAGGCTTGGTGCATTCTCCGATGGTGCTGCCACCAATGTTGTCTATGCGGCTCCAAGTTAGCCCTGCTAATTTTCTAATATCATGGTCCCATCTCAGGTTTATCCTTCTTCTAGGTCTCTTAATTCCTTGTGGATGCCATGCTGTAATTTTTGTGGGACAAGTCCCAAGCAGCATTTGGACGTCGGGACAACGTTGTGTCACGCGACCAAACGTCGGGGCGCACCGTCGGCACAACCTCGTGCCAACCCTAGTCTGCACTAGTTTGGAGAATAATTTTTGGGTCGAAACGACGTTGGATACCGACGTTGGCTAGAAGCCTAATTTAGTACAAACTGCAACGTTGTTTAAAATCCTAATTCACAGAAATACAAAACTAATATGGCGTCTAAGTCGCGTTTTATCCTAAATTGGGATAATTATAAAAATATTATTTTTATGATTTAGTTAGAGACATATGTCAGATGGCAGTGAAGGAAAACAAAACAAAAGTATTTAAGTGTGGAGGATGCTTGAAGATCATAATTATTGAAACACTTTAACCGACTCTGTAACTCGTTACCCAAGGCAAAAAAGTTAAACGCAAACAACTTTATTGATAAATGTATTGTTTCTACTTTGAAAAATACTAATGGGCCTTAAAATTAAAGAAGTTTTAAAAAAAAAATTTGAAGTTTTTTTTAGTAAAATGAGAATAATTTATTCGCAGTCGAAAAAATTGTTTCCGCGTGTTTTTTAGGGTCAAATATTTCAAGTTAATGTATTCAAAAAGCAGGAATTGCTATTTTAGGAAAATGGATGATGAAACATTTTCTTATTTAACAACATGGCGGCTTTCACTTTGTTGTTTTGGAGATTAAGATGGAGTAGTTCGAGTAGTCGCATACTGGACTAATAAAGTCGCAGTTCGGCCTTAACAGGTAGTATACTAGTCGCAAGATTGCCTAATTTAGTCATCCTAGAGTCTAGCTTGTGCCGCCCTCTATAATCTAAATAAACGAGGGAGTGGATAAACATCGGTAATATATGTCGATGTATATTTAAATTTAGTTTTATATGTACCTTTCTTATGTCCCATTTTAATTAAGTTTTTTTTAAGTTTTTAAGATTTAAGGTTATGGTTCAATACAGTTGCAAAAAGGTAGTGACTCGACGTCCTACCAACGTAAGAATAAGGAAATCTAAACAACGTTGGAATTAGTAAAACAGACGACGTTTGCGTAATGTTGGAATAGGTCCTGAAACTGACGTCGGAAAACTCTATATTGTTCAACGTTGTAACTACGTTGTCCGAATCACCTAAAGATCACTTAAGCAAAAAAGGTTACAAGACAACGTTCATTCGACGTCGCAGAAACTTCTACTTTGCTGTAGTACTAGTCCAACGTCGCCACAACGTTATAAAAACGTTTAAATTTATTTTAATACTCAAGGTAGGGAGCTAACTATTTTTTTGTAACTAATCCAACGTTGTGTTTAGTAAACATGTGGTCGCAAGTCGTGAAAATGCTACTTGGGGTGTTTCTTGCCAAGTGTCCTGCCCATTGCCACTTTAGGGATTTGACTATGTGGATGACATCTATTACCTGGGTCTTTTGTCGTATCCACTCTATCACTATTCTTTTGCGGTCTTTTTTGGTTATTTCCAGCATATTTTGTTCCCTTGAGCGTTCTGCAGTTTTCGATAATGTTCGTTTTAAGTGTCCAGATTTCACATGCATATGTCATGACTGGTAGTACTGGTAGGTCGAATGTTTTCTTCTTTAGATAAAGTTTCTCTTTTGAATATGGTTGAGTTTCTTCCATAAGTACTTCATGCTAACTTAATTCTTCTGTTAATTTCTGGTAGTAGAGTACCCGAGCTGTGTATTAGTTGTCCCAAATATATATATTCTTCTAATATTTCCATTGTTGTGTTATTTATTAGTGTCTCGTATATTATAATTTATTATTCAGGGTAATAAACTTTTTAGATGAGTTCAACTACGGTAGCGAGAATAGTTTTAAGCACCGGTTTTGCTAGTGGGGACATAACTGTTGCTATATTTGAGCTTTGAACTGTTGTTATTTGACATGCTTTGAGCTTATTCAGAACACTGGGTCACTCTGTATACAAATATCTATACGTTTAATATATCACATACTCAGGAAAAACTACTATTTCTAGGAATGCTTGTTTGAATAATAAATTGCATTTTTTTAGTTTGTTATAGAGGGTAAACTAGACAAAAATAATGTCTGTGGAACACGTAACGGCATTAAATCAGAACAAATGTAATGCAATATTGCATTATTATATTTCAGAAGTTCGGATTACTCTCGGGAATCTATGGAGTAAAAGGTAAAAATTTTTGTTCTTTTCTATTTCCGTTCTATTTTTGTCTGATTTTATTTCAACAGGAGATTTCAAGAAATACACTGATATGACCCGCCTATTTAAAGATAAACATATTTCTTTAAATCTAAAATATTCAGTTTTAAGACAGTATGTATACATAAATAAAATTATTGATTTTTAAAATATTATTCGTAAACTATAAAGAGGGAAATCAGACAATGAACAGAATTGATATGTTGTTAGGTAATAGCTTTTAGACAATCCACGGTGTTAAACGATTCAAAAAATCGTCTAATTATTTCTCATTTTTGAATGGATTTATATCACTATGTCATTATTATATACCCTGCTGGCAAGCGAAACCTTGGGTCGGCGTTTACATGTATAGGAGTGAATCGCTATGGCAATCTAGTAAGTCGGAGGGAGCAAAAATACGAAATATTTATTACATAATCACTTAATATGACGCTAGATTCTCTATCCATTTGTAGGCTGGCACCCAGAGTAGAAGGATTGTGCTTTCTTTGCCTACTTTGTTCAGCTTTTCTAGGTATTCTTGACCAATTTCGAATTGATGGTTACTGAGTTGATCACTTTTAATGCTACTTAACTATCGGATACATAACAAAATACATGGATACCTGACAGAGATACATACAGGGTTTTTGTTCTCTATGGGTATCTCGGAAACTACTGGAGATAGAGAGTCGGTTAAATGGGGAAAGAATTGCAGTCTTGTGGGGTCATAAATATGCACCTTTCAGATTTTTGAAAAAATTTATGGCCTACTAGATATTTCGAAAAAAACAAATTTTGGCTTTTTTAAAAATTGTACCTAATTCCATATAATCTATTTTAGACAAAAAGTTTTCAGATAACATTTGTACAGTGTTCTCCGATTTTTTCTAAAGCCTGTCATTTTTGACATATGACACAAACATATATTTTTTTAAATGGAAACCATAGTTATAGGCCATATAAGCTATAATATTTTTTTTTCGAAAAATTACTAAGTTATAGCCAATTCTTATCTTTCTTGAATAATTTCACTTAGTTGGCATGGTGTTTTTATTTTGTTATGATTTATAACTTTATTTTTATTGACGTTATTAACGTTATAAAAAGACAAAATATATTATTAAATGGCTCTTTACAATTTACATTCCCACAAACTAAAACTTAAAAAAATATCACTACATACACTTTAAGTTATTTTAGAAAATCCGCCATTGTTTTGAGTACATAAATGCCGATCAACGTATCCTCGAAACTGCCAAGAAAAGTTGAACAGTCCTACACGCTTTTTTTCATTTGAAAAATTCATATTTACAATTATTAAAACTGAATTTCTAGCTATTCTCACAGAACGACCATTCGACTTAATTTAACTTCTCCTGTACCACCTTTTCAAGTGCCTCTCTTAATTCATAAATTCTTTTGTAAACCTTGTTGTAACTATACCGCATAAAAATTAAAATGAATAGGTCAGGTGATTGACGAGGCCCATGAAACTGGTCCACCTCTTTCTATTCCTGAGTCTACATAATTATGATATAAATAATTTTTAACATTTCTTTTATTGCGGGGGGGGGGTGTTATAATGGAGTCATATTGGAACCACTCTATTAATGCGCGAGTATCTAAATTTAACTTTTCTAACATGTCTTACAAAACTGTTCTCAAAAACGTAAGTAACGTTCACCGGTTAACGGTCAATTATATCGGTATCCTCGAAAATGTTTGGTCAAGAAAAGTTGAACAATCCTACACGCTTTTCTTCATTTGAAAAGAATTCATATTTACAATTTTGTTTATTTTAATTTACAAAGGTAATTTAGGATGGCAGAATAGTTTCTCATTTATGAGAGCAACGATTGAACTTGTTTCCAGCTAAGTGAAATTAGCCAAGAAGAATAAGTATTGGCTATAACTCAGTAATTTTTTGAAAAACATATTATAAAAGAAAACATATCCTTTAGAAAGCTTAAAAAGTGCACTTTTACACAGGTCATGGCCAAACTATGGTTTCCATTTAAAAATATATGTTTGTGTCATATGTCGAAAATGACAGGCTTCAAGAAAAAATCGGAGACCACAAACTCATTAGGGATATGATTATCTACAACATCTAGAAACTTTTTGTCTAAAATAGATTATAGTGGAATTAGGGACAATTTTAAAAATAAAATTCCCATTTTTCGAAATATGTAGTAAACCATGAACTTTTCAAAAATCAGAAAGGCGTATATGACATACAAAACTTCAATTATTTCCTTATTTAACCGACTCTCTATCTCAATACTTTCCGAGATACCCATAGAAGGAACTTCGTAGGGAAACTCACCTGTATATACTTATTAAATATGTAAAATACAGATTCTGATATGCTTGAAATCTACGGTAAGCTATGCAGTTTTATAAGTTTAAGAGTTACCCTTGCTTTATATTTTTGTTTATATATTTTAATATTGATGTGTTATTCATATATAGTATGTCTGAACGGTTAACGACTGGTGGTGAAGGTTATACAAAGTATAATATAAATTAAGTTCGAAATTATTTGTAAACATCGTTTTTTTTTTTATTTATAGGGTGACTGGAGGTGAATTGTTTGAAGATATTGTAGCCAGAGAATTTTACTCAGAAGCTGACGCTTCGCACTGTATACAACAAATTTTAGAATCTGTAAATCATTGTCATCAGAATGGTGTTGTACATAGAGATCTCAAGGGAGTAAATATATTTTTATTCCTGTAAAATAAAGTTTATCAACTTTACTCATAGAATCATGTTCATTAAAAAAATTAAGACGATAAATTGAAAAATACTTATTTAACTTACAAACAGAAAAGTACTGTACGACCCAAAAAAAATGGTCGCTTAGAAATCGATCGTCATCTTTGAGCCAACTGGGCGCCATTTTTTTCGATCCTACGGTGTTTTGGAATTGATTTGGCGCCATCCGTGATTTTGAGATAGGTATCGCATTTTATTTTGTTAGTATAATGCTTAAATCTAATCTGTGTAGTGGTATTTTCTTTTCCATATGTAAGATTTTCCGCAATCATATTATAATACATGATACATATTATTCTTTGTTCTGATCAAACTCAATTGGTTATACACTCTTAAAATTTTCATGTATTTTTAAGTTTATAATATATTTTTTCTTGGACCGATTTGAAAGTAATTTTTTTAGCAATTGGTAGCTAAATTATTGTGAAACTTTTTTTTCTAAATTAATAATGGTTAAAATTCAAAATTTCCGTCTGTCAGTTATACGAGTGAAAATAAAATGGCGATATTTTTGGTGAAAGTTTGAAACACCTTATGGAATATGTGTTAACAATAAAAGATTTAAAATTTATTATCATTACGTTTTTTTCCCGATAGTTTGCTTTTGATTCCTCTCAACAGCTTTATTTTTACTGGAGATATTCGTTTTGAATAAGATGGTCTGTTGACTAGGACCAAATGCATGGATTTTAATGTAAAAATACGAAAAATGTAATGTGTATTATATATTTAGGTATCTACTTATAGAAGCGAATATTGCCTTAAAAAAAAGCTGTGAGATGAATCAGAAAAACAAATTATTGAGAAAAGAGACACCTAGATGATAAAATGATTCTTAAATGCCTTGCTTTGTTAGCCCTCCCACAGGGTGTTTGAGCTTTCTTGAAAACATGGGAACTATAGTATAATAATTGATAGATGGCAACATCCATTTTTAATTAGAGGAATATTTCTAAAAGTCAAATAAGATTTATCTACACATTACTTAGGCTCGTATATAGTATTACTATATATTTTTTCATCTATAATTCTATAAATATCTCCACAGGTGTTCTCTTTAAAAAACCTGGGCGTTGGTTCGTTTAAGTGTTGGAAGGTGGACTGCGTCATGTGGGTGCTGGGGTTTTGGGATGGGGTTTGTGTGGGTTCGGCTGGGATGGCTTTGAGGGATGTGGGTGGGTTGTAGGGTTCCAGAGGGATATATTTGGGGGCAAGGGGTTTGAGGGAGCTTCCATTCGAGGGGTGGTGGTTGTGAGCCGGCCTCTTGCTGTGTGATTGTAGGTATGGTTTAGGCTAGATGGGACCTGTGTGTATCTGGTTGAGTTGTCTCAGTATCTATGCAACCATTGTCATGATACCA